CCGCCCCCACCCTCCGCCTCCCTTCCCCGGACTCACAATCTGGCTTTCGGAGTTTTTCTGATTCGCGGGACCCAGAGGTTCCTCCTGCCCACGCTCTACGAAAGTAGGGGGCTGGGAGGAATCTGTGACCCGCCTTCCCAGTCTGGGGCCGCTGCCCTGTCGCCCTGGCTCCCCTCCCCCAATATCCCCATCCGTATTTGGGTCAATTATCCACCTCTCGGCCGCTCCAGGTTTGCAGGTTCCCCGGGAAAGGAGGCACTGAGGGGTGGCGCCACAAATCCCAGGGCTGGGGAAAATTAGGCGGTCCGAGGACTTCTCAACTCACAGCTTCTTTTCTTTGGGGGATGCTCTTAATCTTAGTCTTGAATCCTTTGACAATCTGATGGAAGCTCAGACTCCCTCCCATAAAAAAAAAAAAAAAAAAAAAAAAGGGTCTCGGCAGGAAAGGAGCACAGTTTAACACCTGCTACTGCTGTGGGGCAGCCTGGGCGGCTCCATCTTCTCAACCATTCCGGCCCTCCTTTAAAGGTTTGAGCCGAGGGCACTTGCTTTACACTTTCTCACACCTGTCACCTGACTTCTTCCACGTTAGGCCATGAGTGGTATGCCTGAGCTGTGTGTTAGGGCTGCCTCGGGCACTGGGGGACCCCGGCTCTTGTCCAGGCATGGTGGTGTTTCTGTTCAGGCATCAGCCTGAGGCTGCCCTGTGGCACGGACCCCGGTTTTCAGATGGAAGGAAAGCCTGCTAGATCTCTGTTGTTGGGAGAGTAACGCTTTACCACTCTCTGTGGCTCAGATCCTTATGGAAGAGCCCCTGATCATCTGCGGCCATTTTGTTGGAGTAGGGGCTTGAGACAGGGGCTGGAGAGGGCAGCGTGGGTGTGGGCCACAATGGAGGCAGGATATGCATTTTATGTTGGATTTTCCTTTCTCTCCCTACCCACTAGCAGGCGGAGCGAACACCACTACAAAGGATGAGTGTGATCATGGGCTGTATTAACAGAGATACAGTGTCTAGGAAGGGGAGGGTAAAATGAGATGAGCAGAGTGGGAAGCTCAAGGAGACAGGGTTACCTGGGGGAATCTCTGAGGCAACTACAACTGTCCAGCCATCAGAAAACGAAAGTCTCCCGGGGGTTTGGGCACTATTGTAGAAACACCTGGCTTTGAAGGAGGATAAACTAGTAGTTTTTCGTGGCCCAAAGGGTAGAACCAGGACACTAAGTGAAACAGAGGCAGGCTTTGGTTTCACATATGCAAGAGTCAGTTCTAATAACAATAACCGGAGATAAGCCACATCTGTGGGGTACCCAAGTCAAGCCGGTGGGCCATGAGGGATGTTATAGAGGGATTTTGGGCCAGGATGACCTTGGGCATCCCTGCAACATTTCACTGTGGGCCCAGCCCTGCCCCTGCTACTTCCCTTCAATCCGTCAGGGTGGGATGGATTTGGAGTAGTGGTAGGCATGTGGAGCCCTCTTTCTGCTCCCCGGCTCCACTCCTGGGAGATCTCACAGTGGGGGAAGCTGCTGGGCCCCTGGGGAAATCTCAGAGGTAGAAAGGTTGGGTTCTGCCTTGTAGTGCGGCCTTGAGGCCTCACCTCCCTGCTGCTCACCCTACTGGGAGGGTGAGTCCCCTATCTGAAGGGCTCAGCCTCCCCTTTTGCTCCATCCTGCACTTGTTTATAGTCATCTCCACCAAACACTGAACTTGTCAAGTCCCTTTCTTGCTCAAAACCCTTCTCCCTTTTTGTCCATGGGCATACCCCACACTCCTTGCCCTGGCATTCAGGGCTCTCTGATATGATGCCCTCCCTACTGCTCTCATCTTTCTCCCACCTCCCTGATCAACTAACACTCTTAACACACTTCCACCATCACTCCTTACCTCCTGCTGTCCCCATCTGCCACCCCAGCCCTTTCTCTGACTTTCTCCCTATCCAATCCCTATCCCCCACAATGTTTAACTCAAATTTTGTCTTTTCCATGCAGCCTGCCAGGCTTTACAGAGCTCTTCCTTCCTGAGCTTCTCTGGCTCCTGGAACATCCACAGGGGTCTGCACTGGACCTACCTCCAATAACTGGTGGGCTTTTCTTATATTGTGCCTCTCTGATCCTCTTGCAGCCAAGGGGATGCAGGTTGGAGACTCTTAGGTCTGCACCCCAGGGCTTGGTGCAGCCAGTACTGCAGATGATATGCAAATGATCATAAAATGAGATGCAAATGAGCACCTGCCATTTCTTGGCCGAGGGCAGATGTGCAGCCTTGTTTTGTGATGCAGAGGAAGTCAGGACAGCTGCTGTTTCAGTCTCCTTGGTGTCTGGGAGACACCAGTGTCTCCCAGACACCACCTGGCTGGCCTGTGGCTCATGTGCTGTGCTTTCCCTCGGAAGGACCACCCTTTCACTTCTGAATGCCCCTGCTTGGGGGATGGAGATGGAGACATGATCCAGGCCTAGCCAGCCAGTGTGTGTCACCCCTCTGATCACAGTGGGGTAGGGATGGGAATGTGACCCAAGTTGATCCATTGAGATTTGCTCCCAGACTTTTGCTGGAACTATTGGGAAGGAGTATCTGTTTTGCCTCTTGGGTTGCCTTGGGGCAGGATGTAAGCTAGAGCTGCTAGTGGCCATCTGTCATAAGGGAGGGAGAGGAAAATGGAACCCAGAAAGGAAGACGCATCCTGGGTGGATGTCAAACACCTGGATCCAGCCATGCTTGAAGTAGTATACCTCTTAGCCTTGTCAGTCACATACTGCAATAACTTCAGTTTCTGCTTAGGTGACTTTGAATTGGGTTCCTGTCATTTTCAATTGAAATAGTGTTAATCCAGATTTTAATTCAAGAATGAAAGTGAGAAGAAAGGAGACCAAGCTGTATGGAGATCTGTTACCTTATCTGATAAACTCATTGCAGAAATGCTATCACCCTTGCTATGGACATAATTGTGTCCCACCAAATTCACAGGGTGAAACATAATCCTACGATGTAACTATTTGGAAATAGGGCCTATGAGGAGATAATTAAGGTTTAATGAGGTCTTAGGGGTAGGGCCCTAATCCAATATGACTGGTGTCCTTTTAAGACAGAGAGAGAGAGCAGGGATGCATGTGCACAGAGCAAAGGCCATGTGAGCACACAGCCAGAAGGTGGCCCTCTGCAAGCCAAGGAGAGAGGCCTCAGGAGAAACCAAACCTGCCAACACCTTGATCCCAGGCTTCAGCCCTCAGAACTGTGAGAAAAAAATGTCTGTTGTTAAAGCCACCCAGTCTGTGATATGTTGCTGTGGCAGCCTGGCTAATAGAGACCTCATTTCACAGGTAGGGAAGCAGGCTTTTGCCCACGCTTACACAGCTTCTGAAGGTCTGCCTGATGCCAAAGCCAGGCTGGTTCTACTGAACCCACCATCCACCGCCAGCCCCTGCCCACCAGACTCACGGCCTCTAGTAGGAAATAATCAAATCTCTTTATTTACAAGTGATTTACAGTTAGAAAACCCAGGCAAGGGTATGGGCAGGGTCGGAGTATGGGATGGCACTTGGGCTCTGGCAGGTCACTTGTCTGCACGGACGAAGGAGGCGAAGACGCTGTCCTTCCGGCTGAGCAGCTTCTCTGGCTTATCAAACTCAAGGATGGCGCCCCGCTTCAGGACGATCACCAGGTCTGCACTTAGGATGGTGTGCACTCGATGCTGGGCAGGGCAGGAGGGGACGGGTCAGGATGGTGGGAACACCTCCCACGGTGGGAGCCACAGCAGAGGGTGGCCCTCCTGCAGCTTGGAGGAGGAGGATGAGGAATGTGGCCAGAATGTCCTGTCTCTGTGGGGACTGCACTTTCCTGGGGTGGATGTGACTACAAGCCCTCCATCCATTAATACCACCCTTTTCTCCTCTCCAAGTCCCAACTCTACCCCACCTCCAGGTTTCAAGGCTCAGAGATCCTCCACAATCCCTCCCCCACTTCTTATGGGGAAGTAACCCCAGCCTAACGTACAAGGCCTTGGGACAGGGGCAGACCTTGGAACCTGGAGACGGAGAGGGGAGGTCTGAGGGATGTACAGGGGCAAAACCCTCCGCCCCAAATCTTGCAACCCAGGCACTCTGCATGCCCTCCAGACCCCTGGCCCTGAACTGCCTGCTTCAGGGTCCTTTCTTGATTCCTGGGACCAGGCAAGCCCAGGAACAGTGCACTGATGACAGGCACAAGAGGCCGGTCCTGTCCCTGGGTGTCCCTCTGCACCCCATCAAAGGGCCCCTTACCGCGATGGTGACCACGGTGCGGTCTGCGAAGGCTGTCATCACCACCTTTTGGAGGATGTTTTCCTGCCAAGTGGGGGCAACAGCTGTTGGCTCACCTGCCCAGTGGATGGGGTCTGGCCTGGCTTGGGGGATGTGGAGCCCAGGTTTGTGGTTCAGCTCCCATCTCATCCCGATCCTAGTCCCACCCCCACCCCACAGGACTGAACAGGTTCCCAGCACTCAGGGACTGGACTCAGCCTGTTGGGGGCTCAGCTGTGTGTGTGTATGTAGGTTGTGGTTGTGGCTGTGCGTGCTGTTGTGATAGGTGACAGTGTGAAGTCTGTGTGGGTCTGTGGGCAGCTTATGTTTGTGTTTGCGTAGTGTTTTTGTGTGTGCGTGCGTGTGTGTGTAACATTCCCTAA